TCTCGCGGCTTACCGTTCTGAACGAGAACCCAACCCCAGAGGGGTTTTTGGGAAAAAATACCACTTGCCAGGTCAAAGGCGCTAGAAAGGAAAAATCACATAACACGCACTCCCAATAGGGTCCCCCTTCATCTTCAGAGCATCCTCGTGGAGACTAGTGAGTCCCCCTATGCCTCACAGGTCTTCGACCGTAGGCAGTACGAAAAGCAAGCAGACAAAACGACAAAACACAAAGGTTACAGCATCTTTAGCGACATCGTCGAAGACATGTATGTTCTCATGTTCTAGATTGCCTGTTCCCCCGAGTGTCCTCATGCTGGGCAGCAACACAGAGACCAGGCCACTACAACAGCATCACACAAACGAGTCGCATGAGACACTACCTTTCGGGATGCAACCCGTTGCTAACGTGACCAGGAGGCTAAGGAGGGTGAGAAAGAAGGTGTCGAAGTACCTTGTCCCCATTTCAAAGCAGACTACGAGACACCACAATAGCAGGCGAAGTGTTTGGGGGGAGGCCAGGTATCATCGTAGTGCCTAATCCGGTGCTGCCCCAGAGCTCAGTTCTGTCAGGGAAGCAAGCAAACAGCATCCGACGTCGGAGAAAACAAGCAAACAACGAGTAATCAAACCACCTAACAGGACAACTGCTTCCCGCGATTAAGGTGGCAAGTTGGCAACACAAGTGGGAGCTCTGCAAGGGGCATTCCTGAAATCCACGAAAAGCCATGGAACAGAAAAGAAGATTCCCCGTGTAAGAGCCCTGCAAAGCTACCTCCTACTCCCCCTGCCCGTAGTCGTCGGCGATGGTGCGAAGTCTTAAAAAAGCATTCCATCTAGTCTGAATCTTGGTCTCACCCGCGCCAGTGTTCCCCCCCATCGTGGAGGGCTCCAGAAGGCTCGCTGTCAAAGCGGCTGGCGTCCCCCGGGCCATGGTGCTTGCTTGTCCCGCAACCACCGCGAAGTTTGCCTAGTCTCCCAGGGAGGGAGTGCTTTAAGATAGTGCCGAGCTTGTTCTGAATCCACCCGGCCTGGTTCGGAATGAGTAGGATCGCCGATGCCGTGGCGATAGTTGTGCACAACGTCCCCGCACGCCGGAGCAGCGGTCACCGTACGGCTCCGAACTTGACGAAGTCGCGGTCCAGAGCATTCGGCAGGAAGAGGAGTAGCACTTCGATCGTGCCGTACCCCTTGTATGACGGCACAGTCCCCCTGACTCGGGATTTGTCGGGAGGGTTTTCACGCGCTTTCCTCCCATGTAGTCCGTTTGGTTGAGAGACCCGGTCACGGGCTGGTCTCTTGGGCACTCATAGCCGTGAGCCAAAATGGCTTGAGCCAAAATCGCTGCATCGCTCTCTCTTTCTTTCTTCGCGTCAGCCCCTCTGCTGTTTCTTTCCTCGTTCTGTGTGTCCTTCTCTATTTCTAAGTTTATTTCGTTCATTCGTTATTTCTGTATGTCTTGTATTTATGTATTTATGTCTTTCTTTACCTCTTTCGTTATTTATTTATGTCTTTCTTTCGTACTCTCGCCTTCCTTCCTTCCTTCCTTCCTTCCTTCCTTCCTTCTTTCTGTCTGTCGTTCTTTTGTCATGTGTTTATTGCTTTTTTCTGCATCGTTCTTTCTTTCGTTGTTGTTTATTTTTATTTTCTTCATTCCTTCCTTCCTTCCTTCCTTCCTTCCTTCCTTCCTTCCTTCCTTCCTTCCTTCCTTCCTTCCTTTCTTCATTTATTCCTTTCTTTCGTTCTTTCTTTCGTACCTTTCCCTCTTTCTTTCTATACGGTACCCGGTCTTCGGTGGGGAGGGGCTCGAATTTGCATGCAGCAATGCTTGCAGTGGTGTGGCAATGGCCAGAGAGAAGGTTGTGCCTGCAAAGACTTCCAGACTTCATCGGGCGCTCCGTTTGCCAATACCCGGCGTGCGCGGTGGCCGTAATGCATCGATATTTCTGCCACCTCCTGCATGTTGTGAACATCTGGTATGCACTGCAAGATGCAAGTTGTATCATGTGCTTCCTGCCCACGTTGCACCAGCTCTCGCTGGTGTTCGTCAAGGCTCAATCCTTTAGCTGCTGTCAGCGGCTCTCCTGGGGCCAGAAAGTTTTTGCTCTGAAATGCTGCCGGCCCTATGCAGCAGCCATGTTGGATTCCAGCGGCAACCGAAACTGTCGAGACATCAGGCACTACATGCAACACATCCCGAAGGCGCAGCTTCCTGTAACGTCATCCAGCATGTTCGCTTCACATGGATCTTCGCCTGCCAGAACACTATTGTCACTAAAGCTCCGCTGCTCCTGCATAGCCACTGGCCAGAAGAGATTTCAGGCATCGAGCCAGGGTGCCTGACGCTAAACTTCGAGGTGGCATCCAAGCGGTGTGGTAGGAACGTCCGGATGCCCGGTGATGCCAACACCTCACAGCTGGCACCTCTCACTTCATCGATCTGCTATCTGCAGCGACTTCTCGGAGTGAGTTTCCGACCCTGCTCTTCGGGCATGCAGCTTGTCCGCATCAACCTCCAAGATGATTACAGCCTCAACTCTGCAACTCGGCTGAGCTGCACAAGCCAATGCGGTGGGTCTAAGAGTCTAGTCTCAGCTGCCCAGGGGCCGTCACTGCATCCCCAGAGTCTGCCAATGAAGTATCCAGCAGCTTGACTTGGCTATAAGTCTCAGGGAAACCGTCGAGAACAAAGCCCAAATTGCCTAAGTTGCGCAGCTGCAGAGCTACGGAAGCGGCTGGCACTTTCGCAAGTCTCTTGCCAGATCCTGCTGAGCTACAATCTCGGCAACGGACACGTGCCTGGATCAATTGCATTAGCAATGGATCTGGCACCACCCCACCTCTTTTCATGATGCCTGCCGGCTCGACAGTTAAACATCGCCGGTGCCGCCTAAAAACCGAGCCGGCTATTCTGCTGCAACTAACACCTCGAACATGGCATGACTGCAGAGGTTGGCGACAAGGCATCCTGCTTGCCTTCCACTTGCCGTCCTGAAGCCGAACCCAACGCTATCGCTGCTCGCCTGCAGACCAGTTTCGCGATGCGTCAATGCACTTTTCCAAACAACTCCAAAACAAGTACCATGGTATGCTATCCACAGGGCAGCTCTGAACACGACATGTGCTAAGCGGCAGCAAATCATTTATTGTGAGCTTGGGGATGCCGAGGTGTTCTGCCTGAGATGCATGCCAAGCCCAAGCCTAATCAAACCCGATCGGAATTGCCCTCCGAGCACAAGCTGAGCACCTTGAAGCTTGGGTGTGCCGATGACTCTCTTCCAAGCTACAGCTAGTTACCCCTGGCTCGCTGCAGGCGAAGAAGCAAGCTTTGTCGACACCGTGCTCTTCCCGCTTGCAGGAGGCCCCGAAAGCACGACGATCTGAGAAAGATACCGGCACAAGGAACATGAAAATGCGCGGAGTCAACGGAGACATGCCCAAATTTCGACCACGCAGCTGTGCGCCCAGACGCTGGTGGGGCGGCTGGGTGCATTACCCAGTCGAAGAAGTCCTGACAGTGAACCTTGCGTGCTGCAGTTGTACTGTGCAGATTGCGTACAACATGCAGCGGCAAATTCAACTTGTGACACCCCCGTCACCCTGCGGCAAAGATGCCTTGCCAGCTGTCTTTTCACTGGAGTCTACGGCCTTCTGCGCAATGGCTCTACCAACGCCCACCAGTTCGAGGACCTGGACCAAAGAAGAGCATCGGCCCGGTGTTCCGCCTGAAGCCTGCAAGAATACCCAGCCTTTACGAGCTTGTCTTTCTCAACTTCTCCACTCCCATCAGCGTCGTACTGCCGGAATAGCCTGACCAAAAACTGTACAGTACTTGGACTTAGTGAACCTCTCAGTTTCATCATCATCATCATCAGCATCATCATCAATTGAAGACCTGTCGTGTGCCCTAACTACTTTTTTTGCACAATGCGAATGACAATAGACATGACGTTTATCAACAGCCACAGCTGAAACACGAAAACTACCGACTCGTACAGTTCTGTCCAATGATCCCGACCCCCCTAGATTACTCGTCCGTCAGCGTTTATTCGTTGCGCAGCAAGAACGAGATTGGGCTTCATGCGAGTATTGCACGACCTAGAAGATTGCGCCCGCCGGTCACCGAAACTACACTGCAGGACTAGGTTGAACGGTAGACAACCCAATGCTGAGGCTCGTGGTGATGACTACGATGGACTACGTCTCATGTTGTCAAACTACTATCGGGAGGTTGAACATTCAACCAGGTAGCTCGATGATGCCGTTTGTGAGAGGCAGCGATGCCATCAGAAGTCATCCAACACTGTTTCTGCATACACTGCGCTTGCACCGACAACAGCTGCGGAAACGGCTGACACTAGTTCAGACAGGAGCTTCGGTAAACCTCGGATCGGTCTGTCTGCACATCGCAAGCCTGGCGAACTCGAATGAAACCACAAGGTGCACGGGGCGTTGCACATGGTACAGGGGGCATGTCGCGAATCCACAACATGTCGTAAACATCGGCCAGCCGAGGGTTTTCGGTACATGCCATGACTGCATGCTGTTTTATGTAGAGAGGTGAGGTCTGTGTCTGTGTGGTCTGCGTACTAGTTCCGTTGTTCCTGCAAGGCTTGTACGGAGTCTGGATCATCGCCATCATGGTCTTTGTGGTTGCAAGTGCACAAAGGGCGTCTCCAACACGGAATCCGAAGCTAACAAGCTCACGAAATCCCATACAACCTCCCCTCGCCCCTATCCCCACCCACGAACATGTTAAGGCAAGGTTCGACGCTAGTCAGTGCAGGAAAACATCGATAAATACTTGCCTAAAACCTCTGAAGATAAACCGTAAAATCTATGCATCCTATACAGAAGAAACATCGCAAAGACCGAGTGGAAATGGAAAGCCGGGGAAGTATCGGGATTGTTAGCACACCGAAGGAAACGGACGGGTGGACGGTACAAAGCCCGACGCGAAAGTGGTCACCCAATCCATCAATCAACCCCGGAGCTTCGGCCTGCGATGCCAAGGAGCTTTAGCCCATTTCGCCAAGCCTCGTGGATGTCCGCCCTTCCCACAGCAAGCTAAAACAAGTCAAGGCCTGCGGTTCAGAAAGGCACTCAGTCGGAGACCCCTCGAGAACAGGCACGGATAGAATGATAAAGCGCCTCGCGACCACGTTCCGCCGAGTTTCGGCCAGTTTTGGGTCAATTCAATGCACAGATCTTGCAAGCACGCACTTTTTGAGCCGTCGACAATGCCGTGCAACCCTCTTTGCTTTGCGCAAGCCACTCACCCAACAAGGCCAGACTGCCCGACTCTTCAAGTGCTGACACAGGGTCACAAGTGTTCCAGCCACACACGGGGCACCAAGGGTAAGCAGCAATTGATGAAGCTTCCTTCAGTGCATTTGTCAAAGAAATCGAGATTCTTCCAGCCAACCCAGCCCTTCTGGAGGATAGGTTTGATGTCGTCCTGCCCTGGGTAGTGAGGATCGACAATGAGGTATGCTACATCTCCCGTGACAGAGTCAAAGCAGAGCCCAACAAGAGTGTAGGCATACATACCAGCACCCATCATGATTGGCGTGCCCTCCGTTTCCAGGTGATGAAGCATTTGTTGTGCCTGGCTCGCCATGTCCGTGGCATCTTGGCAATACATCATCTTGCAATCAACCTGCAAGTACTCCTGCAAAAGGTACATGCCCTCCACAGTGCCTATCCATTTCTTGCTGCCCACTTCCAGCTCTCGATGTGCCTCATCTATTTGTTTCAACAGGTTTTGGATGTCAGGGATGCTCGGAACTGAAGCATGGCTGTAGTGCTGCAGCCGGTACCAGCTGACACAAGTCTGTAAAGAACGATATGCACAGCCCCAGCCACTGTCATCAAAGTTGTCCTTCAAGCGCCGGAGGCCGACGACAACACAAGCAGTTGCCCAGACAATCATTGGTTGATCCGTATTTAAAAAGAAAAACAAAAACACATAAATCCTGCATGTAATGGTGGTACTCATATATACCTTTGACGAACGCCACCCGGGTAGAGGCGGAGCCTCTCCACCAGCTCGGCTTTGAACCACAACTGCTGTGTGGATTCCTGGGCTTCCCAGTGGCCATCACCGGAGCCTCTACAAGAGCGCTGAACAAGAGCACTGAAAGAAACAGTCATAAAAACCCTTCTTTGACGATTTCGCCTGGCCGGCAAGCGGCAGCGCTGCGTTTGGGACCAGCAGTGGCGCTGGGGGAAGGCGTAGCAGCCGATGCAGTTCAAGCCGAGTGGTCTGAACTTCTGCGCCTCTTACAGAGACAACATGTTGTTCGAGCTGGTAGCAGCGTACTGCGAAACTTGTGCCCTTCGCAAGGCGGTCTTGCGAGACTTCTCGGATCAACTGCCGCAACTGAAACTCGGCAGCTTCAACAAGCGACTGGGCAACAACTTGCAACATTGAATTCGGAGGAACATAGGCCGCAAAGTCTATGCGGTGCTCAGCTTGCGCCTGGCAGTGGAACTCTGCAAAGTTGGAGTGCCCTTCACTTCCCAAAGCCTCAGACAAGACTTCGACTGCTACGAGCCCAGATTCAGGCGCGCTGAATGGAACATTCACTTTGTCGATCAAGTCGGCCAACGCTGGCACCAGCTGTGTTCCAGGGAAGCGAAAGCGTATCGCTGAGAGGTCAGATGCCAGAGAGGATAGGAGCACCATGGCCTCAGCCTGAATCTTGGGTAGGACAATGCTGAGCGAAGAGTACACACAGATCTCCGATGGCTCCGAAACTTTCCAATGGCTTCGTTCTAGGCCTCGCTGCATATCCCAAGCTTTCAACCGGCCATCCTCTGCTCGGGTTGCCAGCAAAAGCAATCCACGAGCGAGCTGCGAGCTGGCGATCTCGGGAGGCCACTCTGGCTTCGCCGAATCAGCGCAGGCCGAGGCCGAGGCGCAGAGCACTCCCAGGATTTCCAGGCCATGTGGCAGTACTGAGGCCGCCTGCTCCAAGGACTCGCTGGGATCCTTCCTGGCTGCACGGCGAAGCGAATGGGGCGAGAAAGGGAAACAAGTGAAGAAAATGGTAACAACAATTACAAAGCATGCTGGCATACCTGGCAGTAGCTAGGACCTGTTGCAGATTCTACTTCTACCAAGTCTCGAACAGTTCATCACACTCCAGACAAACACACCAGACGACGACACGCGGCCGACGAGCCAAAGCAGCTCTGTAGCCTCAGGCGCAACAACGGCATGCCCATCAGCTCCTGCAGGGCATTGCAGAGGAACACAAGTACCGTTCTCAGGGACCACATGCTTTATGCTCGGATTCGCTATGTAACCTTTGGGATGTCGCGACAGATTTACCGAGTTGAGGAGCACAGCAGCTGGAAAGCACGATGTGTAGGTGCGGAGAACCTTGTCGGTAGTTCTTCAGTCCTTCTGAGAAGACATGCTCCACTCGTCTGACGAAGAAAGACATGGCTTCGGCGAAGGAATTTACTAGTCCGCTAGAGCTCCGGAGGAAGCGTCTTGGCTTGCGTGTGCTTTGGTTCATGCTCTGATGTTGCTCAACCGTCATCTCAGAGCGAAGTGTGAACAGCTGCTCTCGCGAAATCCCAGTGCAGGCAACAACAAGACATGCACACGTCAGGTTGCGCCGTCGTGGCGGAATCGCCTTCTGGCTGATCTCAAGACCCTCGTTTTGAAGATCGATGATAAAGGATAGAGCCTTCACAGCGTGCTATCGAAGCAGACGAGCTCTTCAGACTCATGACTCAACATGGACTGCTGGACGCTGTACATAGAGGCGAGATGAGGCGTGCAACCTGCTGCCATCGTCCAGTCGGAACGCCTCAGCAGCGGGACAGGTCATACTCGATCACGTGAATCGTCGGCGACACAAAGCTCACAGGAAGCATGTTCGAGGCCGCAACAGGCCGCAATTGCAGCCTCCACTGCGACGCCTTCCAGCACATGGAAGCAGAGGGCACACAAAATATGTTTTCTCCGTTGTTCAGCCCCCCTTCATGGCTAAATGTCAGACACAGGTGACACAGGCTTGCAGGCTGCAGGTCTCTGCATTCACGCTGGCCCCTCGTGGAAGCCTCTGCTCTCATCGAGGAAAGGCAAGACCTACCATAGATGAACTTAACTTCTTCATTCTGTTCATTCTGGAGAGGCACGGGCCGTGCAACTTGCAAGGATGGCCCCAGCCTCATTGAGAAGACCATGCCTTCCGCAGCGCTGGAGCCTCAGAAGCAGCTACAACGAGTGAAGAGGGCTTGACCCGCCAAGACAGCGTGAAGATGCGTGAGGTAGAAATCAAGGATGTCCATCATGATACCAAGCAGCAAAGAGTCATCTGGTGTTCGCCCTTCTTGTCTTGCCTCATCCAGGAGACGCCGGAGTCGCTTCTGCTCCTGACACGAGTGCACAGCAACCATCCATTGCTGCAACGGCATGCACTGGCTTCTGGTATGTCAGTCCAGTGCCCGGCAGCCGCTTTACATCGCTTTACTTTCACGTCAACGGACATTCGACATCCCTGGCTCAGCACGCATCTTGGACGCATGCTAAGCCTGCAACATATGCAAGTCGTAAGGCTCAGGGATCAAAGCAGTGAACCAGTGCCATTTCTCTGTCGCCACTGGGGTTCACCATCTTCCAGCACTCGTGTCGTCTTGGCTTTACTCGTCGTCTTCGCTGCCGCTTCCACCTTTGCAATCATGCCACGATCTGCATCCGCTGCACAACCTCACATCGCACCGTTCACACCTAAACGTGTGGCGACCACAACACGAGTGCCAGCTGTCCGTGCCCGCACATTCGCAGCGCTCTATCTTGCCGTCAGCAAAGCATTGCCAACAATGCGTCTTGCTGAAATCGGGACATTCTGTACATCGCAATTGAGAAGGACCGCGTTCTGCGCAGTCATCACACCAGTGCCCGTCACAGCGCTCGCAGTCAAGACCAGACGAGTCTTCAGAGGAGTACCACGTGCCACATGTCTCACACTGGTTGACTTCGCCGTTCCGCACCATGTGGGCGATATCGAAAACCTCTCTGAAATACTGTTTGCCGTCGCTGTCCTTTTGCCGCTCTGGCCACGGAACAGTCTTGCCATCTTGATTCTCCAGGACTTCCGAGATGTAGGCTTGACACAAGTCTTCCCACAGCTGCCGCCTCAAAACAAAGTCTTTCGCCGCCTGGCTCGCTACCTCTGCCGCTGCCAGCTCTACGCCGTCCAAGAATGGCAGGACGTGCTTGATGGACCTCTCGCCCATGCATTGCAAAACTTGAGCCAAGAGAAAGCTCTACAAAGCAGCACAACTTCGGAGGCGATCGTCGTTCCCACAAGACGAAAAATTAGCATTGTTGCCCGCAGCCCCCTGCAACCAATGCTCCTTGTCAAAAGGCCGGTCGTCCAGGGATGCCATTAGTTCGCGTGGAAACGGCTTTTTCGAGCGGACGTCCAGCCAGTCAAGCGTTCTGGCACTGCCGAATGCACCTGGGTGTAACACGGAGGTCCCCCATTTCAACTTGTGCAGAACTCACAGATTCTGTGGCACTGTTTTCCTCCATGGTGGTGCTCTGTCCATCTTGCCTCAGAAGCATGCGAGCTGGCATCGGAACAAGCAGTGGGGCGTGGACATGTGTTACTACAACGGCTCAGACAGCTGATCCTGCAGCTGCGCTGGGCATCCGACGAAACGGGCGTGGCCTGCTGAAGCACGAGGCCAAGAAAACACATGTCAACATGCTGTCAGTCAGTCGGTCACATGCCGGGCGGCACGTGGACAGATAAGTGGCACACCGCATGATTCCAGATCAGCATTCTGCACAAGTTCGATTATCTCACGGAGGCTTCAAGAAATTGATATGCTTTGTCCATCTTTGTCCCCAACATATGTGACACGGCCCCCCCGCTCCTCTCGCATGCATACTTGCGGCAGGCTGCAGGTGGTCGTGTGCAGATCTCAAGAGTTTACCACAACAGGGAAGTTGTCGTTTCAAGAGCAGTCCCGTAGCAGCGGGGTCGCAAGCTCTGCACGGAACTTCTGTATTGGGCACTCTGGACTTGAAAGCGGATGGGATGCCAAAAAACTTCGCAAGGAACGGCTGTGAAAGAAGACGCCGATCCGAAGCAGCTCAGGGTTCAATAAGAGCCTCTTTATCTGTGCATTCCGATCCTGCGATCATCAAGACTGCCGCCCGCCAAGCTTCGTGCAGTTCAGGAAAGTCCCGCTTTGCCTTTTTCCATTCCCGTTCTCCGAGCAAGTTCATGCCTTGAAACATGCTAAGGATTGCAAGTGACTACATGAAGTAATTACGCGTCTCAATGTCCACACCGGACAACTGTAAGGCACAAACCTTGGTTCGGATGAGTGTTAAAAAAAAACGAATGCTAGTAACTACTGCCCGTCCGCTCCCCCCTCAACTTGTGCGACACCGCAGACCACACCGAAGTGCAGTCTATCGCCTCCAATAGTGGCAACCGCCTCCCTGCTGTCTGGCGAAACCTAGGTCCAGGATTCCAAACCAAGGCAAATGATGCAGCACGGCATCGTGGAATGATGCAGCCTATTCTCACAGATAAGTGCTAGAGGGCGTGGGATCGGCCACAAGGTCATGACTGCCCTGAACTGTAACTCAGGCATCAAATCATAGCAGACCACAACGCTCGGTGCCGGAGTTTGCTGTCTACACCGGACAATGATTTTCACGCCGCTCTTCCGGAAGTCACCGGAATTGGCAAGCTTTAACGCGCACAGCCTTTGGCCGACAACTCTGCAGGTCGCAGATCTAGACCTCAATGCTAACATGCAGCACCCTTTCTTCGAACGAGACTTGGCACTTGTTACGAGGCATGGCCTGGGCACCATGCTTGGTTGCGTCGATAACGAAAATTTCAAGACACGTCGGAGGAGAGTGGTTCTACGAACCTCATCATTTTCATCCCTATCGCAATCTCATTGTTCTGCTACCTTGTACTGTATGCTCCGGGGCTGAGCGTGTGCGGGTACTGCTTTTTGAAGGCCGCGAAATCTGCACCCCGACCCGGTCATGCGGGTCTGCACTCTTGGGGCACATCTCAGGAATCTGGCTTCACGTGTTGCTCGACCAAGACTTTCTGGCCTGAGCGCGAATTATGTCCATCGTAGAGCCAAGCATTTCAACACACACATACGCACATACACACATGCGCACACACACTCTCACATGCATGTTGAAGCATCCATGAGATTTGCAGATCAGCGTGCGCTTTGCTTGCAGCCGTTCTCGGTAAAGTGTACTTCGAGAACTGAAGAAGCCATTTCCATCATCTTCATCTTTCACGAACCTGCGAGTGTCCTGGAACAATCAACCGGGCACAGGGATCTGATGTCTTGCAGAGCCTACAAACCTGCTTTCACGTCCTCTTCTGTCTTCAGCAGTCGCAGACTATCGTACCGGAACGTATCCAGCTCCTTCACCTTGGTACGCACAAGCTCTCGAGCCGGTGCTGGCTGGCCATGAGCGTTGTGTTCAGCAAGGCCACAGAGACTGGGGGAATCGACACCGTCTGTAGAACGGTGAGAAGGTAGTCCACATCAGGCTTTGCTCCTTTCAGCGGCCTCTTCGTTTTCAACGCATGTCAACGGCTTGGAATTTCCCGAGATCTCTCTCACAACACCTTTCACAAGCATTGTAACAGCAAGGTCTCAGGGCCTGGAAGGAAGCACGGCCAGTAGATCTTGGAGACACTTTGGAATCATCACCGGCAGCTGGGCTTTGTCTTCACGCTCCTGACCTGCTTCCAGCTGCCTCTTCCGAACACTGGCAATGTCCAGCGCCGGTCTGAAAGTCAACATCTTGGAGGTGTCCGGACGGGCTATGTGGGAAGAAAGCCCAATCGCCGGAGTTGCATTCCCCAAGCGTCTGTGATCACCTTCTGCGTCTGCAACAGATTGATCCTGCTAGGACGCACAGTGCGTTTGCTAAAGATCCCTGGCTTGCTGATAGCTGCTGACGTCTCGCTGTATGGATGCACTGGGGTGCAAGCCTCGAGCTGCACTGTTTCCACAACCTCTGCGCAGGCTGCAAGCTGCGGACGAGTTGACCTGCGCATGTTCGCATCCCGAGTCAGGAACTAGAACTGCAGGCCCTGCCTGGGAATCAGATGGAGAAAACGGAAACCTTCTTCCACTTCCTGGATTGAGGTGGACCTGTGCATTGTGTCGAAAAAGTATGAAAAGGCGCCGCAGTATTGTATAACCAATGCAAGTCTTTGAGGCAGTGGCAGGCCCAAGGAGATAGGTGTTTGCAAGATATTCTCGGCATCTACTTCCAGGTCCCGCTGGAGGTTTCGATACTCCTGGACGGGCGAACAAGCTGCTCCCTAGTTTCCAGCGGTCTCTGGAGGTCCAAATCATACTCACTTATTGCTGAAGCAAAGTGTCGGAATCGCGGAAGGATGTGGCACGTCGGACTGCCTCTGCATCGCCGAAGTAGCATTCTAGCCTGTTCAGAGATGTCCAGGCATGTACACCCGTACATGCAGGTGACTGCTAGTGGGCGCGGGAGATTTGGCAGAATGTTCGCTGGACCTGGAGCACTTCGCCATCACTGAATCACAGGGCACCTGTTGCCCTACCCTGCGCAATTCACACGCCTCAGCATGAAAACTTGCTTTGGCGAACCCACAGAGATTTCTAAGCTCTTCAAGTCGACTTGATTTTGCGACTGTGGCATTTATGCTGGTAGAAGGTTGGAAATGTTAAATGTGATACCATCGGGGCTGGCAATTGCAACGTTCCGCGTGTCGGAATTTCCGGGCACTACTTACTTTTACTTACTACTACATACTACTACTCACTACTACTTACTACTACTCACTACTACTTACTACTTACTACTACTACTACTACTCCTCCTCCTCCTCCTCCTCCTCCTCCTCTCCTCCTCCTCCTCCTCCTCCTGCTGCTGCTGCTGCTGCTGCTGCTACTGCTTCTTCTTCTGATACTAGTACGACGACTACGACTACGACGACTACGACTACGACGACGACGACGACCATTACTACTACGGCTACCACTGCGACTTCGACTACGACTACGACTACTGCTGCTACTGCTACTGCTCCTACGACTACTACAACTACTACGACGACGAATACTTCTACTCTCCTGCTGCTGCCGTGACTACTTCTGCTACAGCAACTGCTGCTGCTACGACTACCAGTGACTGCCACTGCTACTGCCATTACTCGAATTCCTACTTTTACTACTATATATTCTCTGTTCCTACTTGTACTCCTCATGGTCGACCCCAACATGGTAACTAGTTCATTATTGCGACCTGCAGTTCCCAGATCTGACCCCGATCAGCGCCAACATAAACAATGCGAGGATGTTGTTTGTAGATACTGTTATTGCCATATTTCCAACATTACCCGTCGCCTGCCTATGCAACATGCTTGCGACCTACTAAGACCTACTAGTAGTTGGGAGGCCTTGCCCACTTCTGCCACAGAAAGGCCAAACTCTCCCGAAGCCCAAGACTCTCCTGGATCCACATGGCTTTCGATTTGTTACCAGAGAGAAGTGGCTCGAAGGAAATTCAACAACGAGTCCTCGCGATTTGCCAGCCGATCGCGCACGGCCTGCATAGAAGGGAAGCACTTCGGCTGGGTCAGGGACGACAGCACTATTCTCGTGCACATCAACATACATGCAATTGCAAACTCACCTGTTGCAGTCGCTCGAGGACACCCTGTGCCAGCTCTGCGCGCGCGCTGCGCAGATCGTTGCAACCTCGGTGTGTCCCACTGATCGTGAGACGCCAAGGCATTGACGTCGGTGACGGTGGACTCGCTGATGCGCTGAGCCCAAGCAGCCGAGCAAGAAGTTCACGTAGGCGGCGAGCAAAGCCGGCTCACGGTCCCCATAGCGGTCCAGGCCCAAGCGGAAGACAGCAGCTGCCGCCTGCCGCTGAACCGAACTTTTTAGGCTGCAGGCTTGGCAAGACGCAGGAACAAAATGCAAAAGACATCAAGGTTCAACGAGTCCTCGGTGGAGCCGTATACATGATACTCCGTCATTGCCGCAAACACGTACACCTGCTTCACGAATAAAACGCTAGCATCAAGAGCATGGCAGCAAGGGACATGTGCTGGCAAAAAACTGGCTCTTTCGAAGGCTTGTTGCAAACATGCCAGGTGCTCCTCCCAGCTGCAGTGCGGAGATGCCTCTGTCACTTCCAGGAACGTATCCCGGAAGTCATTAGCTCCCCGTTGTCTTCTAACCTTTGTGCGAAAGACTCGCGAAGCACAAAGCCAAAATTACACAAGTCGACAACTCGACGAAGATCAACCACGTGCCCAAGCAGTGGCAAGCCTGCACTACGACCCAAGCTGTCTGCACAGGAGCATACGCAAGGTAGTTGATGAGCGCAAGCGGGCAAGGCTTTGGCATGTCTTCCATCAACTTCCTTACTTGCCGGAAAACGATCATCGGGACCTGTGCTGTGTCATCTGTGTCCTGAACTGTCTTGAACGAGTCCAAGATGCTTGTACTCGTCGTCAGCTGCTTCCAGCTTGCTTGCCGTCAAGGGCGACTCGCCCAGCTCAAAGCGCTGCGCCAGCAGCAAACGCAGAGTCAGATCCTGCAGCAACTGTCATGGTTCTCCTGTTGAATGCCACCGCTTCTCCCGGCTAACTGGATGCTTCGAGACCACCTTCGGCAGGAAGCGCTCCACTGCCTTGCGCAAGACATCCGTGGCCTCCTCCTGCTTCCCGCCTCAGCTCAACAATATGGCCTTTCAGCTGAAACATCCCAGAAGCGCATGATGTTTTGCCATTGAGAGCCACGAGCTGGGACGAAAGCTCTATCGTGGGCCGGGCCGCTGAAAGACGACTCGGAGATGCATACATATCCCAGACAGACAAACAGGCAGACACCCAGATAGACACAGATATGCACATAGGTATATGTACATGCATACGTACATACAGACATGCATGCATAGAGTCTAAATTCACACATACATACATATATACATACAGACATACACACATGTAGAAGTAGAACTATAGGATACTAGAGTTATACACGCGCATATGCACGGATGCAGACACATGAAATGAAGAACTAGTCTCCACAGTGTGCAAGACCGGCCAAGACATGAACTTCCACAAGAATCTACACCTCAAGCTGTCCACGTGTAAAGGACCTTGAGGTAGGAGCAACCCTCGGGCCTCATCAGCATCAGAAAGACCCTGAGGCCAGCATAAGCAGCAGAAGAAACCCGTTTCTCGTGCCGAATTGCCCTGGCAAGAGATGCCAATGTAAGGCTCGACATCTTGTGCAAAAAGGGCCCTGTGGCAACGCGGCCCCGCTCAGCCCCAGGTGGAGCAGCTCAAAAAACCCTGCAAACACACACCCCGACCCCAAAACAAAACTGCCCTCAGAATCGGGAGCTTTCGTGACAAGAAGCCCAAGTCCAACCATGCGGAGAAGTCGAACCACAAGTCCGGAAAGAAGCCACATGCCAGCGACGCCTCAGGCCGGCGACTGGCTCGTCGCCAGCGACTACGGTGGTTCACAAAGTGGCCTGCTATCTTACCAGGTTTGCAAGCTTTGTGTCACGTCGGTCTTGCACAGAGCATGTGAGAAACCTTCTTGTATAACAGTGACCTCTGGCAAAGATAAGGCCAGACTCGCCGAACTTGAGGCTCCAGGATTGAGACTTAAGCCTGTCTTAACGTCACAGTCCCTTCTTTAGTGCGGGCTTCACTCGCAGTCAACCCAGTCGCCTGCTGGTAGACGAGGGCAACCCGTGCAGTCAACTCTTCGGTGCCCAACTGGAGCGGGTTCGTTCGCTCGAAGCGTAGCACAGCCCGCCACTTCTCAAACCTTGAAGGTCTACTTTTCATCAGGATACCGCACGATGCCTGCGTCAAGTCAAGGGACAGTTTGCTCTGGTCTGCCACATTCTGTGGTGTCAGCGGCACAGCCACTGCATAGTGATCGATGTTCGCAGCCAGTTGCGAGAGCTCCTGCTGGCGTTGAGGGCAAAGCCTCTTTGGACGCTGCGCTGTCGGCTCTCCACTCTTCGAACTCGGCTTAGCCGAGTCGCCTAGAGTTCTTTCATTTTGCAAGTTCTTTCCATTGTGAAGCCATGTGGTCCATTCCGCAAGCTGTACTTGTCCCACGGTGGGGTCGATGTGTTTTGGGCCGGATCATTTTTCCCGTGGACAGATCCAGGAGTTTATCGGCATGACCTTATCTACACCTAGGCTAGTAAGGCTAGTACCTGTACAGCCACAGACCAGTAGGTGTGCTCCTCTCGTTGGCTTGGCTTTGACCTGAGGTGTGGCTTAGTCAATTACTCAAAGACTTTCCACCTTTCATGTCGGAGCTGTATAGGGCAAATGGAGAAACCGAAAGTCTTTTTGGGTAAACCGAAAGAGCCCATATAAAGCAGGCAACACAAAAGAAATGGTTGGACGAGACACTCACATGAGGAACTTGGACGTTACGGTACAAGTATCTGCTTGACAGCTACCCAGAGCTGGCGGAGGGTTGCATACACGCACTTATTCGAAGAGTTGGCGAAAAACAAATTGCCCAGCCAAAGTGAAAGCGACACATAACCTTAAGCGTCTGGATTGAGATTCACAAGTCGATAGGTATTTTCTGCCTCCCGCAGCCGTGCCTTGTATGCTGCTTTGCCACGGACATACCGCGGCATGTGCTCGGACATCAGCTTCGCCGCTAAGGCAGGATTGCCCTGGAAGCGATGAAAGTCCGAGTCCGGTACCAAACTGAACTAAGGGCCAATTGCGATAACGAAGCGACGGCGAGGCAAGCAGCGGCCTGCGATTTTTCAAACTGCTCGTAGCCGACCCAAAGCTTGTCCATGGTGCTGTGCGAAGCCCCGGCACAGCGCTGGAAAACGCAACGTAGGAAATCCGTGTCAATCCTGAGAAGTGCGGGCATGCAGCGATACGTACTAAGGAGCTCACGGCAACAATATGTTCTGCTAACCTGCACACAAGTCGCTTCAGAATCTCGGACACACGAAGGAATTCTGCATCTGATATGTCTGCGGATGCCCGCCCAGCTTCCTCCTTTTGCCAAGACGAAGGAGCTGGCAAGAGTGTGGTGTGGAAAGAGAAGCACACGCTAAATGAAGGACCCCATGAACTTTTCCGACGATGGCAACACAAACCCAACGTTCAGCTGATCTTGTCGTGCAGTTTCTGCGCAGTGACTCATGCACGATCTCAGGTTTTTGGTGTGTCCTGCTTTTGCTTCAGCGCGGGCTTCAGTGTTCGTCGTGCACTGTCAATTGGATTCGGGTCTTCGGCCAACAGCTTCCCCTGCAGTTCTGCATCCGGGTTCTCCTGCGCAGCGCAAAGCCTCTACAAATCACTCACAAGCCATTAGCCATCTGCTTCCGGCACTTGTCCCTCTTCTGCTGGACATTGTAGGCATGCTTCAACAGAGCGAGATAGTCGGACCAAATTGGTGCAGCCTCAGAAATGCAACCCCTGGCTGGCGTGGCGAGGATGGTGTGCTGACCTGGGCTCCCAGGCCCGCCAGTCGCTGCCGAGAACATCAAGGGCTCTGCCATAGGATCGCAGGACCTCCTCGAGCGTCTGATGCCGCTTGGAGAAATTCAGGAACGACAACCAAAGGTCCAGATTCGGCCTGTTGTCAATGCAAACTGGCAAGACTTGCTTTTGGAGGCCGGCATCTGCCACGTACTCAGGCCGCCACACTTGCTGCAGACACCGGCTGTACACCCCCAAAGCCGCAGCAGAGTCCTACTACAGTCACAGTCTGGCTGCAAACTCCGCACGTTTTGCTTTCTTGAAACCAGCAGTTGGAAAAACTTCGCTCATGCATGACAGCTTCGTGCCTGCATCTCGGACCATTCGGCATAAGCCGCCCAAATGCGAGCTGCATACGGCAGCTGTGCCACGGCCCGCTCGAAGACCGGCTCCGCTTTGCCCTCCTCGCAAGTTTCCGAGGTGCGGCGTGCACCGGCATAAACAGCGTACCTTTCTCTTCCACTGGTATCCTGGATCGCCTCACGCAGTCGCGCATCCCAACTGTTGAGATCGAACGGGTCTGCCTCGATCGCGGCGTCCAGCCTTGGAGTTGCGAAGTTTATTTCATCCGCAGTTGCCACAAGAACCTCTCGTTCTTCAGTGGAATGATGCACAATGCAAATATTGCATCCACGGGACGCCTTAATGCGAACACCTGGTGGCTGTGCTGCCAACTGTGCTTTGGGTGGCACCTCAGGTCACTTTACTCAGCTCAGGTCAGATCTGACTACCGAACCGCTCTCTGACCGCTTTCGTCTCCGAGCACCTGCACTGGGGCTTTGCCCTGTGGCGGCGGCTGCGCCGAAGCCTTCGTGCTCGCGGACAGCATCGCAGAGCCTGGTGTGGAGGCGGAGCCTTAGACTTAGGCAGACTTAGGCGCTCAGGCAAGATCGCAAGTAAAGGCACAGGCATGACTTCGGGCACAACGGCTTGTGCAGGACGAGAGGCTCTTTGCCATCACGAAAGCCATTGCCGCCATACCGGTGCTAGGGTCTGAAATGGAAATGTGAGCAGTTGCTGGGCTTTTTTGAAGCCTTTCGGCTGACGAGGACGGTGCTGCACGTGAAGGTGCCTGATGTTGCTAGCATGACAATGCCTGCATTGCACAAATAGGAGCCATGTGAGCTAGTTTGCTGGGCTGTCTTGATTCATTCGCACTTATTTACGACCATACCAGCTACTCGTACATCCTGACACTGCGACCGACAATGCATGGCATGGCGTGCGCGAAAAGGAACACTGTCTGGCTTGTGATCGAGTTGCCCACTGCCTGCAAGACGAACGGCGCCAGGACGCCCACACCACCTCAAGCAGCTTACCGAACAAGTGCCAGAGTCGCCGTGGCTTTGCTGCCGTGTGACCCCGGCCTGATCCGCAGCAAGACATGAAGGAAATCCGTGACCATTGCACCTAGCAGGTATGGCAGCAAGCATCAACGCTTCCACAAATCATCCAAGCCATGGAGCATGCGCCATGCGGCCCCGAAGCCCACACCCAATGCATGGAACTGAGCCACACCGTGCTGGAAACGAGTTTCGGAACCAACTACCCAGAAATGATGCTGCAAACCCTGCGCGGTCCACTATTGATCTGCATCGCCTCCGGTCCTTTGGACCCTTCACGAACCGGCCTCGTCTTTGGCTGGCACCCGACGGCTGTTTTGTCCAGAACTGCGCCCGGCGAGCCACTGCGTTGCACGAAGAAGCTCCCAACGAATCCTTCAGTCATGGCACCGCACTAGTCACTACCCAGACCCCCAAATGGATCTAAAAAATAGATCCTCTAATTTGGGACCCTGACTACTAAAGGGTACTTTATAGGAACCTCCTTAAAGGATCTATTTTTTAGATCCTTTTGGGGGTCTGGGTAGTTTCACCTGTGAACGGCACAGCAGTTTGGAGGCACTGAAGCTCTGAGACTTTCGTCGCGTCTTTGCCATGCATCCGCCGCAAGATTTCGGTGCAATCATGCACAGCTGCTGTCCTCCAGGCATGAATAGCCACGCCAGGACCTTGCGACGACAGTTCATATCCGAACAGGCAGCATTCATTTTCGCAAAGCTAAACAGGCCACAGCATCAAGCGCAACTGCACTGTGAGCGATTTGTTTTCAACATTTTCCAACATGCTGGCACGCTTGGATCTGTCTAAGCATGGGAACTAGCTTTCAACCTTTGACCTGCCACTCGTGAAACGCGATCTTCTGCCGCTCATGCCCATGGAATGCCTGGTGAAACAAGCTGCTTTCAGAAGAAGGCCGGCGTTGCCAGATGAGATGTCTTCCCAGCTTTTTTGGATGCTTGTGCCTCCATGGACTCCATGGATGTGACCTTCCCCTTTTTGATCATGTTGTCGATCTTCTGCCACTGCTGATTCTCGTTCATTTTGCGCTTCTTGGCTTCTGCACCTTTCTTGTTGGCTGCAACGCTGTCTTCTGCCGTGGCCTTTTTTCCATCTTTTCCCTTCTGTTTCTTCTTCTTCCCATCGTCGTCGTCGCTGTCATCACTGTGCGTGGTCATCATGGCTCCGCCCATCATTGAACTTGGGAAGAGCTCATCGTAAGCTTCGTTGCCTGAGTGTCATCCACCAGGTCAGCAAAAGCCAAGAAGGAAACACCTCTATCAGTAGAACCTTCCGGTCTATGCCCGGGACCAGGATTGCCCATACCCTGGGCCCCGCTGCTCGCCGCAGCTGGCTTCCGCTTACGTGGATCCTTCTCCTGCTTGGCAGGCTCTGCGGGCTTGGCTGCCTTCTTCGGCGGTATCTCCTGCGCTCGTTGAACGCGTGTCAAACATGAACTGTTTGGTCTCACTTCCTGCCATCAAGCTGGCAAGGCTGGCACGGCAATCACCTGAGCACCGTCCGGCCTCATAATACCCCAGCCCTTCGTCGCCCAGCTTGAAGACCCAGTTTTTGCCTGATGCTCACCCGCAAGGCTTTCTTTACACGGCCGTGCCTGTCACCCCGATCGAAGTACCTGTGCATTTGCAGGGACAAGCTGCGAGCTCCGCGAAACTTTCTGGAAGGGTCGAAGCGGCCCGTGGGTTTGTGAAACTCTCCAGGCTCCAAGGTCGACTCCTGAAAGACGCTCTGCACTGCCCAGGCCCCACCCTGGCCCTCGTCGTTAATTTATTGAGCCAAGGTTAGCTGCTCGCTTGAAGTGCTAACACGCGCGTCCTCCACCTCGATCTCCTCCAAATCAAGCTGCCGATCCGGTGCCTTCCCTGAGCGATCAGAGAAGCACCCCAATCCATTGCACGCAACTGACCGGCAAGGAGAAAGCCAAGCATCTGTACTTCTCGTCCCCGGCATCATCAAAGTAAGAATTTTTCTTGGGCTTCTCCTTCTCCGGGGAGAGATCCTTCTCCTGCTTCACGCCCGCCTTATCTCGCTGGGCGGCTTGCTCTGCTCTGGCCTTCCGGACAATCTCCTCAGTTGCAACTGTTTATGCAAACGACTTCATCCAGAGCCAAAGCGACGCGTCGACGGCAAGCGTGACTGAAGCTCTTAGCTGGTAGAGGCTAAGGCACATTGACATCAAATGCTCCTGCACCAGCAAAGATGTCGTTGTCGCTGTCTCTGGCCTTGACCTTGGAGACTTCGATCTTCTGGGCAGTGGTGTAACTTGCGCCTGCGCGGCACATGCTAGGCTACCTTCAGATGGGCAGGACACAGAGTATTTTGACACGGAAGAGGAGCCGACACCTGCTCCGATGTTGTTTTTTTGCATTTTCCGCTGCTTCTTATCCTCTGCTGCCTTCTGCATGGCATTTCGCACCTCAGCAACATGCTTCTGCACCAGTGACTAGCGACTGTTCTCCATGTGCAGCGCTGGAAGAAGCATATGGGCAACGTAGCTCAGCTTGCCACTCTGACCGCAGTTTCTGGAAGCATTCCGGAAGATCGCTTGCCCATTTCACTTACAGGAACCTCCTCGGAACACAGCAAAACTGTCTTGGCGGGAACGCCTGTGCAAGCCTGAATAATGTCGCACAAGCCCTTGCATGTTGCGCGTTTGGAATACCCTTCTTGTCCGATCGTCCTCTTTGCTCATATAGACGATTCGGGGGATGTCCGTTTTGCCCATCTCCAGGTCGGTGTCAAACTCGAAGGCCATGCGCCCGGGCAGGAAGACCGAGGGGGCATTTCTGATCCGATTGCCCTGCCGAATCTAATGGTGCACCGGGCATGACACGGACAGGAACAGCATGGCTCAAGCAAGCTATGCTCTGCATGCTATGGTGTCCTGCGCTATAGCCTTGCCCATCTTTTGCACGCGCTCCTCATTCAAAGAGACATGTCGAGAGACAGCCACCCGACATGTCAAGAGACAGTCGCCCTGCAACAGTTCACCAGTTTGTCCTTGAAGGTGCTGTGGTGGGGATGCAGCGTCTCCACTACTGTCAACCAGACGTTCTTCGCCTCAGCTTCGGATTCGCTCAACAGGCGGCACGCCTCCGCGTGTAGAAAATGCAAGCCGCGCACCACCATATGCTCGAAGGTCTTCTTGTGCCTGCCGCCAGTGATTTTTCGCTCCTGCTTGGCTTTCCTGACAGCGACAGAGGGTTCCATTCAGACGAAGCAGCTCCAACAAACAGCTAAGCTAGATAAGCTGAGGTTCTGAAACTCGTCTGCCTTCTGCTTTTTCGCAATCTCTGTGCGGACTTTATTCAGCAAGGCAAAGTCCAAACCCTTCACCAGGTGAGTGTGCTCCAAGTCACCTGCGGTATCGGCCGAAAATGACCCCAATAATTTTTGCCAATAATCGTAAAAATCTGGCATACGCACCGGTACTCCGCACAAACCCCACCTCCCAGGTACTTTGACTGGTCGACCGGCACCTCTCCATGATTCTCGAATTCGGCTGCGACTTTCTCCTCGGCCCACGCAGAGCGTGACAGCATGAATGGACGGGTTGGACAAAACCACGGACAAGCTGATGCCGAGAGCATGCCTCTGTACAAACTGACACTGCCGAGCATCGTACTCGCCTTTTGCGTCACGCCTCTCTGCTGCTCGATCCCTGTACTTGTTCTTTTCGGCTTCCTGCTCTGTGTTGACACCATGCAGCAAGAGCACCATTTTATATTGCGCAGGCAATCTTCCACCTGCAACCTCTATCTCGGGTCTCCTGCTCAGCCTTGTCCAATGCTTTCTGCTTGTACCGGTTCGCTTTCCTGAGTTCTGTCAGTACAGCAGAGACGTGCTCCGATTACATTCATCGAATCTGGTCGCTTAGCTGCCAGCAAGTCGCGCTATTCGAGCAATAGCCTTCTCATCCTTGCCTTTTCCTTGACCCTTGCCCGCCTTTGCAGTGCCACCTGCAGCGGCAGCACCCAGTATATCCATCGTTAATCCGGTATATCCATCGTTTATGTTGTCATCAAGTGCCTTTTTTGCGCTTTGTCAGCTCCGTCACCAGCTCCCTGCCAGCAGTCAACTGGAATTACAGCACGAACATTCCCAGAACTCAGCGTTCGGCCTGTCATTGGTGGTGAGCAAGCGTTGAAAATCGGAGTTGTTCATGGCTCGGGAAAGACGACAATCAGTCTATCTTTTCTGCACTTTAGCATGGCTCATTGCAACGACGTCAGTGCTAGCCAAATCCCCACCTTTATACCACGGCAAAGACGAGGCCGTCTCTTGTCCGTTACACTGAGATGCATCCCCAACTTGCCGGGCTTGAAGATCATTAGGGCTCATTAAGTTCATTGGGTCGGCACATGACATTTCCATGCATTTCGTCAGTGCATGTGTTTTTGCGGACCGCACTGGGGAGAAACGCTGCAGGCTCCTGTCTCTGGATTGATGCCTCAACAGGCAAGTAGCAATTGGCCCGGTATTCTCCCATTTCTAGGTGGGAGGACACACGCCATGGACGGCATCCTGAACCATTTTTCGGCGGAGCTCTGATGACCCACGGTCGCTGGACCTGTGCCTGGTGCAAGGTGTACAGGTCTTCTTGTCAAGATCTGGGGTCAAGAGGTAAGAGATATAAAAAGAGTAACAGGACATCTATAGCCCCTACTGGCACAGCGGCCGGCGCAAGCCGAGGGTCAGAGACGGTCAGAGCTTGGTCTTTGCTGAAACCCCACCCTGGATTGAGGCACTGTTGGCCTCAATCACCAGGAAAGCTTGCAAGCCTTCCATCATCTCTAAGCTTATCCAAGTCTCGGATGGCTATATCAAGTGGGCAATTGCGATCCTCTGTAATAATTCACTGGTCATCCGGGCAATCGACTTAGTCACATTCTTTCTTGAGGACAACCACCTTGGAGCTAACCCCTTTCAGTCTTCCTGTGCCAGCGTTGCAGCCAAGCCCCCCTCCTCCTGCGAAGCACGGTGTTTCGGCATCAATCAGGCCACACGACTGAACACGCGGTCTGCGAAGGACATCGAGACAGCAGATTTTCCCAAACACCAACCGAACCATTAGGAGAAGATTCCTCCCTCCAAGCGTGCTATCTCAGAAAAGACTTCCACCTCAACTTTCCTCTTTGCAGCTCAGAGACCTTCTTCTCCTCAGGCTCCGCTGGCTGTGCTGCTGCAGGCCCATCACTTGCTTCAGCGCTGTCTGCCTTCCCAGAACAAGCAGATGAACGGGAAGTAAGTTTTAAAGAAGGCTCGAAAAAAATGGCAGCGCAGTTTGAAGCCGATATCCGGAAGGTTTCGGCGATCGGCTGTATCATTTTGTTAGACATTCTCGCACACTTGCCCAGGAAGCACTCGGCGTCTTGGCCGCCGATTGTGTTTCTGCAGCAGAGAGGCGAAGCTCATTCTGCTGCCGCACCCGTGCTGGTATGCGTCAGGGGAAAACGGCGCGGTGTCGCTGATGCTCAGACTCTCGCGACTCAAGCAGTGGAAGTAGCTGAGATAGCTGCGGACATGTTCGACTGTGTCTGATGAACCACCTGAGCATCGTCTTTCTTCCTGGATGGGGAGTCAGACCTGAGCGAACTGCCAAGGCAAAGTGTTGCAAATGACCGGGGATGCACATGTCGTGCATGGGCGCATTTGTCAGAAATCAAGGTCCCACACAGAAATTGCAGCACCGTGTGCTGCCAAGCACGGCCACGGGCAATTGCTACAGACTTGCCACGTTCTGCTGTAGGGTTTCTTGCAGTCAAGATGCCGTGCCTTCTTGTATTCGCTGAGCCTCAACTGCAAAGCTGAAAACGATTCACACAGCTTTCTAAGTTGTCTAAGAGACTCCTGTGCGCGCAAACATTCAAGTTTCGTGCGCATCTGCCAATCAACTTCTGACCCCGATACAACTATACACAAGTCAGGGGGCTTTTTCCGCTGCGGCGTTGGCTCGCCTGCAACGAAACGATGCGCTCTGTCACACGTCAGGTGGTAGAATTACACAACCCGCAGCGGGCTGCATGAGCAAGCATGATCACGAACAGTAATGAACCTACCGGTGGAAACTGCATCGGAGGCCATCAAGCGAATTAACAACAAGTGCACAGACACAATGTCAATACTTCACAAAATGTGATGCCGTGGCAGCTTGTATCAAGGAAAGGTCTAAGTACCCTTTCTATCCCAGCCACCAAAGGCCAAATCAGAAGCATGTTGAAACTCCCGCTGATGACCGCAGTCATAGAGGAACCATGAGGAGTACATGTCGCGACCAATGATGCATTCCACGTCGTCAGCAAGCCAAACAACAAAAGGTGGCCTTAATCCTTTCAGGAAGTCTCGAGAAAAAAACTTGGCTTGTGTTGCCAGAAGTGCGCGAGGTGCAAAGCAAAACTCGCAAACCGGCATCAAAACGACACAGCCACACTTGCGGCACTTTGCCTTCGGTCGCCGGTTGCGCTGGAGACCCGGCCCCACCCCGGCAACAGAGCCTCGGATTGATCCGAGCTTTTCACGGGCATGCGTCGGATTGGTGTGGGAATGACAGCTTAAGGATATGCACCCTGGATTGCCTCCAATCGCCCGGGCACGGCCCTAAGCCCCAAAACCACGCACAAACAGCTCACGAAAACAACCAAGCTATGCTTAACAGAACACTATGATGCAAAATGAACCAACCCTAAACCCTCACCCACAGACCTCATAAGCAGCACTTTGGAGAAGGTTGGTGTAAACCTACAACCCTCTGTAGGCAAGCAGCTCCGCCGGGCAAACCAACGACTGGGGTTCAAAACCCCAAAAGACAAAAAAAACAAACACACCAATTCGCCAGGAGACTAGTCTCCCAGCTTTTGTTTTACCTGGTATTACAGTACATACATACATACATACATACATACATACATACATACAGACATACAGACATATTGCGTTACACATGCAGACACACAGACACACAGACACACAGACATACATACATACAGTTACATACATACATACATACATACATACATACATACATACATACACCATACCGTACCATACCATACCATACCATACCATACCATACCTTACCATACCATACCATACCATACCATACCATACATCGCCGGCTGCCGGGTGCAGAAAAAGAGAATGAGAAACAACAAAAGACAGAGACACTGAGGAAACACTACATTTGCACTACGTTTGCATGCACTCGGCAGTCTAGAGCCTCGCTCGGTTCTCACCTTGCGTTGCCCGTTCCCCGAATACAGTTTCGCCGCCTCACACAGGCCTCTTTCCCCCACTCCAGAAGCAGAGTTTCGCAGTGGCTAGGACTCTGCTAGGGTGAGCTGTCGAAATGCCGGAGGGCAGGAAGCTGCCAACAAGCAGAGCCTTGGCCAGAAATCAGAAATCGACCAACGTGAGACTACGTGACTAGCATCCAGAGAACTAAGCGCCAGACAAGAATTGTTACCAGGACTGGAACTGGGTTCTCTAGAACCTGAGTTTCGTCACAGTTTTTTGCTAGCTCATGTCCGCATATGTCCAACGCTCTCTGGCCAAACCCGAGCAGCCGTGTCCAGGGCTTTGCTGAACATGCCTTGTCCACTTGCCGACTTGTCCTGGTTTACATCGAGGCTATGTTTATCCTGTTCATCGAACCTGTCGACTACAAGAGATGGGTATCCTGCTTTGCTTCGATCTCGCTCCGCACCTTGAAAGTAGCTTGGCCAAACGCTATGACCTGAAGGCGGGAAAACTCGGCGTGTGTTGGGCTTCACGACGAGTGCACCGCGCCTTTTCCGGGTTGGAATCGATGACGATGTTGTCGAACATGATACCCTTGTCCATCGTCCAGATGTCAATACCCACCGAATCTATAGTCGGCAGCATGTACGGATTCTCGTCCACAAAATACTCAGGATTGTCTATCTGCCTCGGCAGCATGCAAATTCCAGCGTTAAAACTCCTGCTTCCACACACAGTTTTGACTTCTGGCCTCGGCTTCCATTCGCCAATGTAAGCTGGATTGTCAATTTTTGGTGCATACCATTTGCCTTTGTAATTGGGATTGTTGATTCTCGGTGCCTGCCGGGATTGCACAAGAATGGAAAGGTCTGGAAGAGCTGACGGCGGTTCTACGCATGGGATCAGTAGTGCCTCCCACTTTCCGCAGCCGACAGAGCACTTGGGATTGTCGATGATCGGAGCTTCCCATTCACCGTCCTCCTCATCGTCCCAATCTGCAGGCCTGCCCAAAGCCAAAGCCAAAGCTCAGAAGCTTGTTCCGAAAATCTTCGGGACTTTTTTGCCATTGAAGAAAGGTCCCTCGTGTGTGACTAAGTATCGCAGCACCTCTGCGACTTGGGATCTGGTATCTTAGCCAGCTCGTCTTCCAACCACCCCGAAGGCATGGAAGCTGAGGGATCTGGGATCTGAAACGGCGCATCTTCGTCCCAGTCGTCCTTGACACACGCCCCCCAAAAGGAGCCCAAGATGCTGAATGCTCACAAAGCACATCTGTCACTTTGCACTCTCAGATATTGTCAGATTGCTTGCAGGAATCTGGTTTCGATGCATCTGGATCATCTATCTTTGCTTCATCGACCCAGTTCGACGGCTTCTGGTCTGACGGGTCATCTATTTCCTGGCACAGTTCACTTCTGTCGCACACTTGAGACAACAAATTCATGCTGCTAGTGCAATCGAGTCTCCTTCGGTGGGTTAACTGGCGGCTGCATGTCCTTCAGGAGAGAGCCGCTTGCCTTCTTCTCACCGTCGACATGGACTTCGAAACTGTTGTCAGAGCGGATGAACAAGCCTAGCACCAACTCGCTCCAAAGCATTCTGACACAGTGTCACAGGGTAAACAGCCTGGCTCTCGATTCTGTGTCGGCAAGCAGCCGTACAAATGTGTGCGGCGGTCCATCGGCACACTCGGAGGCGTCTGCAAATGCTTTTCTTCCCACTTGCCGGTGACGGGATTCCTTACTTTGCGAGTACAGCCTGCACAGAACGAGCAACAAGACGCCAGCACCGCACACAATGACTGTCAACCTACCAACTGCATTGATCAACTGAGCTGGCGGCTTGTGCTGGAAAATGAAATGCACTTTGTTCGTGCCGCCACACTTGTCCGGCCCAAACATGACGACGTAACCTGGATGGCTGTCGGG